AAGGAATAGACATAGTCAGGTAAATAATGTGAAGAGGTATTTGGAGGATATGCCCTAATTAAATCTAAAGGAACTTTCAATTCGCGATCCCTCATTAACATAGCTGGAGTATATTCAGTAGTCTGATGTTTAGAGGAGCGAAAAGCGAGAAGAAAAAGAGGGATCCAAATGTCCCAGACTTTTTGGTTGAAATTCACATATTTAGCCAAATAATTTGCGATTATTCTATTTAATCTCTCGACCATTCTATTAGATTGAGCATGAAGAGGCGTAGTTCTGGTCTTGTGAATATTAAGGAAATTCATCAATTCTTTCAAAACTGAGAATTCAAAGTTACGACTTTGGTCAGAATGAATTTCGAGTGGAACACCAAAACGGGAAATTACATCCTTGATTAGAGCTTCTGCTACAGTGGTAGCTTGTTGATTGGGTAGAGGAATAGCTTCTGACCACCTGGTAACGTAATCTGTGACTACGAAAATGAAACGATTTCCTGAGGATGATTTTGAAAAAGGACCAAGAAAATCAATAGCTAATCTCTCAAAAGGGAATCCTACATTATAGATTTGGAATTCACCTTTAGTTTTAACATGGAGATCTTTCTTAGAAACACAAATTCTATATTTTCGACACGAATTCTCAGTGTCGAATTTACAGGTAGCCCAATAAAAGTTCTGGCGAATCTTGGCAAGAGTTTTGTTAATGCCAAAGTGTCCACTAGAAGGAGAATCATGACCGGATTCAAGGATTTCATGGATCACAATTTTAGGGATAATTACTTAATAAATGAATTTGGTACGATCTGGAGCTTCCCACCGACGAGAAAGAATGTTATCTTTCAGTTCCAAGGAATCCCAATGAAGAAGATCAGTCTTAAATTCTGGAGCAAGATGAGAAATTTCATTCCAATCAGGACGATGATTGGATTTCCTGAACTTAATATTTGTTTTGAGAGTTGAGTCTTCATTTTGGAGTTTAGCCCAATCAAAATGATTTTCAGTTCATAAAATAGTTCTAAAAACTATTTTATTGGAAGAATCTTCCATGGCATTGGCATTTTCACAAGATTTACAAGAACAAGGACGCAGTGAAAGAGCATCAGCGTTACCATGAAGATGACCAGGACGATGAGATATTTCAAAATTATACGACAAAAGACATTCAATCCATCGAGCAATCTGACTAACAGGTTTCTTGAATGAAATGAGCCATTTCAAGGCAGCATGATCAGTGCGAATCGGAAATTTTCTACCCAAAAAAAAATGAGAGAAAGCTTCAACGGCTTTGATGACAACTAGAAATTTTTTTCTACTAACATAATTATTCTTTTCTGAATTACTTAAACACTTGCTATAATAAGCAATAACCTTTTCTTGTCCATCTTGTAATTGAGAAAGAGTAGCACCAATGGCGAAAAGCGATGCATCAGTATCGAGGATAAATTTTTCATTAAGCAAAGGGGTAGAAAGAATAAGAGGTGAAGTAAGGATTGATTTCAAATGGTTAAAAACTGTTTGATAGTCTTCTGACCAGATGAAAGGTGTTTTAATATCACCAAGTTTATGAAGAGATTCGGCGATAGAAGCAAAACCTTGGACATGTTGGTGATAATAAGAGCAAAGACCAATAAAACTACGAATACCTGTCTTATCAGTAGGGATTGGCGATTGAATGATAGCCGAGATTTTCTCTGGAGAACGATTAATTCCATTTTCCGAAATCATGTGACCTAAAAGGAGAATTTTCTTTTGGAAGAAGAGACATTTCGTATAATTAACTTTCAAATTGGCAGAAGAAAGTCTATTGAAAACTACTTGTAGATTTTTGAGATGCTCATTGAATGATTCACCACGAACTAAAATGTCATCTAGATAAACTAAACAAATTGTCCAAATTAAATCTCTCAAGATGAAATGCATTACACGAACAAAAGTGGAGGGGGCATTACATAAGCCAAAAGGAAGGACTTTGAATTGCCACAATTCATTGCCAAGGCAAGGGGCTGTATTTCCTTTATCTTCAGGGGCAATCCCAATTTGCCGGTAACCGCTTTTGAGATCATTAGACGAAAATCATGGGAATCCTTGAGTTGCATCCAAAAGTTCACTACTTTTAGAAATAGGCATAGAGTCTTTCTTAGTAACCTTATTGAGGAAACGACAATCAATGCAGAATCGAAGGGTGTCGTCTTTCTTTTTGACTAAAACAACAGGAGAAGACCAAGAAATAGAGCTTGGGTTCAATGATATCGTCCTTTTTCATGTCTTCTAGAAGATAAAAAACAATATCTCTATAATAAAAAGGAATTCTACGCGGAAGTTGTTTAATAGGAGTAGAATTTTCGATGACAATTCGATGTTGAAGACCCACATATTTTCCTAAATCCTTATTACTTTTTGCGAATCTGTCTTGGAATACAATAAGAAATTGTTGGAAAGGAGACTTCTGAGTTTCATTCAACAATTTTGAAGAATTCAGGAATAAATCGAGTAAAAATTCAGGAACATGAAGAGGAGTAATTTCCACATTAGTTTGGTAAATAGAAACAGCCTGACACTAATAGTTTTACCCCCACAGACCTTCTATAGACAGTTAAGCTGTCTCGAAGGACCGTTAGTCCCTTTTCATTATAATATCCATAATAGATCAAGGGGTGAAGCAAGCGGGCGCCAGGCGGTCCGGCCGCTCGTATACCTGCTCAGGGCTTGCTCACTATTTCGTCTGTATCTCCGGAAATAATCCGAATTTTTTTCTGAAATTTTGGAGACATATTCTTGGATAGTTTAGGAAGTGATTTACGCAAAAAAAAATCGATTTTTTCAAGCCTCTAAAGCAGGCTCCCCTCTTAATAGAGAGAGTGAGAAACGAAAAATTCAACTTTCTATCTGAGAGCCATAGCCTCCATGGTAATCCAACAACTTCGTAGATTAGATTAGATTAGATTTTAAGCACACAGATAGTCGGACTAGCCTCTCCAATGCCATCGAACTCCGTTTAGAGATATTGTAGCCCCCCTTGTTATATGCGCGGAATGTAAGTCCAGCCCGTCCTTTGTTGCCAGATTAACAGATCCGTTGCATCCTTATTCGCGACTTGATTTGCGGTGGGCAGTTCTCCACCAGCGCGGTCTCGTCGCTGCTAGAGTCAGACAGTCACATAGAATGTGTAGACTGTCTTCTTTTGCTTCATTACAGAATCTGCACCACCCATTCGAATCCATGCCGATGACTGTGCAAAGTTCTTTAAATCTGCCTTGTCCTGTGAGCAGCCTGATTGTAGTAGCCAGACTTTTCCTGTTGATGGCCAGTAGGTGTTTCAACCTGTTCTTGCTGAAGCCAGGCATGATTGCCCTCGCCTTTCTTCAGGTCTTTGTATTTTTCCACCGCTCCGATTGTTCACGTCAGAGCTTTTCTTTTATGTGGCTTACACCAACGGCATGGGGGACTCCCAATGGCGAAAACTCGTCCGCATTTATTGCCACCTGCTTCGGCAGCCCGTCTGCCGTTTCGTTGTCGTGGGTGTCCTCGTGACCTGGGACCCAGGCAAGGGTTATCTTGTTGCTGGTCCCCAGTTTTTCCTAGCTTTTTATGGTTTCCCAGACCAACTTAGATTCAGCACTGGATTTGAGGAGAGCTTTTATAGTGGCTTGACTATCTGTCCACAGAAAAATGTGTTCGTGGATTATCATGCAGGACACCAGAAGCTCGGAGTGCTTTTTGATTGCGAGAACTTCCGCTTGGAATACGGTGGCCGCAGTCTCTAAGGGCCAGTTGCATCTGTAGTTTTCCTTCAGCCCGTACAGTCCTACTCCGAAGCAGCTTCTGTATCCTGAGCCATCTGTACACCAGTGCATGATATTGGTGCCTGTTTTCTTTACAGATTCTATACTTCTCCCTTTCAGGGATGTAGATTTTAAAAGCCTTCCTGATTTAGCACTTCCTGGTCATTTTATCTTGACTCATGTTCCAGAGATTTTTCTTGAGGATGTTAAGCTTGGCGTGTGCCGCCTCCGCTTGCATCCATTCCCCCTGGCACAGGAGTCTATAAGCTGTTGATTCTGCCCTACTCACCACAAGATGATCAAGATCAATCCGTGGGTGTCGTTCTCATGGCCCCGCTCGCTGCCCTCAGGAGATTTCCCTGTAGGCATTTGAGCCGCTTCCTTATCTCCAACGTCTTCGCCCTGGGCCATCAGACTACAGCCGCGCACATCAGCCGCGACAGCAGAACCATCTTTTACAGCCATAAAATGATCTTTGGACTGAAGCCTGAGTCCCTGCCCATGGCTCTTCTACATGCCCACAATGAGGCATACGTCTTGCCCATCTGTCTCTCTATGTGCTCCCTCCAGTGGAGCGTGGCGTCCAGTTGAACACCCAGGCACTTCACTGAGGTAGTATAGGCAATCTCTGCACCCGCTAACCTCAGTGGCTCTGGATTTATACATTTGTTTTTTTTGGTGAATATCATAGCCGACGTCTTCTGAGGGTTAACTGAGAGTTTCCTCCTTCCACACCAATTCAGCATTGTTCTCAGAGAGTACTTCAGTCTATCTTTCAGCACAGTAAGGAAATTGCTCCCAGCAATAATGGCCACGCCATCCGCATATTCATACACCCGGAAGCCATGTTCCCGTAGTTCTTCTAGGAGCTCGTCCACGACAAGGCACCACAGCAGTGGAGATAGAACTCCGCCCGGTGGGCACCCACCCTTCGGATGACCTCCTGTCTGTATGCCATTGTGATCCGGCATTAACGACCTGCTCACCAACAGGCTTTGTACCCAGTCAATGATGGTTTCAGGAAAGCCTCTTTTTGACGTCGTTGTGTTTATGACCTTATTACCTATGCGGTCAAAGGCTTTCTCAATATCGAGGAAAAGGCCCACTGCTTATCCCTTTGCCCTTATCTCCTCCTCAATCTTTGCCACCAGGTGGTGCAGGCTTGTCTCGGTGGACGTCCTTTCCCTATAGGCGCATTGAGCAAAAGACAGCGGCCTGGCTATGAGCAATGTGCTTTTATGTATGTGTCCATGAGCCTCTCCATTGTTTTTAAATCAAAGGAGGTTAGGTTGATAGGTTGAGAGTCTCTTGGCTTGATATAGCTGTATCGGCCGGGCTTGGATAGGAACACTATTTTTGATTTCTCCCATACTCGTGGTACAGTTTTCAGTGCTACGCTGGCCCTCAGAAATTTTGTAAGAGACCCCAGGATGATCTCCATTCCCCTTTCTGGTAACACCTGGTAGACACCATCTGGTCCTGGTGCTTTCAGGAGTTCGAAGGATTTGATCGCCCATTCTAGTCCCTGTGAGTGCACGATTTTGGCTGCTAGAGCCCAATCATGTGGCTTATACCGGCTTCCAGTTTCCTTTGCGATCTGTTTCGCGCTTTCCGTGCTTCTGGCGCCGGGAAAGTGCTCCTCAAGCAGGAGTCGAAGAGATTCCTCCGGGGTCCAGGTATAGCTGCCATGTGGCGTTATTAAACAGCCTAGGTTGGCGCCACCCTGACCCCCCAGTACTTTAAATAGCCTGGAGGCCTCGGACAGGTTCTCGACTTCGCTGCTGAACCTCTTCGGGCCGTCTCTCTTGGCTTTCGCCAGGGCTTTGTTGTATTTCTTCTGGAGTAGTTCACGGCCCTCCATGAGTCTCCTCCTGCGTAGATTACTGCTAGAGTTTTTCATGCGTTCCACCAGCTCACCTGTTTGGTTCCTTTGATGGCGCGCATTGCACAGTTATTGTCAGAAGCGCTTTTGATTGCTTCCCTGAAAGATTCGGTCGCATATTCCAGTCGCTTCTAGTTCTCGAACCTGCTGGGTACGTTTCAGATTCTCAGTGAGAACTTCTCCTTGTACGCGGCCCTGTCCGTCTTCGTCGGACTTCTCTTTCGAGCAGAATCTACTCTGCCACTCAGCTTACGGCGTATTTGACCATAGTCAGAGCCCGAAGGTTCTCTCCAGCCTCTAACCAAGTCCAAGAGACTCGCCAGCCTCTAACCAAATCCACCATGCCTGCTCCGCATATGGTGATATCCGGCACTTCCTGCTTTCTATAGTCTGGGAAGGTCAGCTCGCTGCCCCGGTTGAGGTGTAGCAAGTCGTTGACCATCATGAAGTCATGTAGGGCTTCTCCCCTAGCATTGGTGTTTGAGCTTACCCACCTCAGATGGTGTGAGTTCGCATCGCAACCAAGCAGGAGTTTTATTGCTTCATCCTTCACTCTGGCCATCAGGGCCTCCACCTCAGGTGCTGGCGGGGGTCCATTGGAGTTATGAGGCACATAAGCTGATCCCACCATATATTCCAACGTTTCATTCTCACGTATTTGGGCCTTCAACTTGGCTACGAACAAGCCCCCTTGCTAAGCTGCGCTATGAGAGTAGCTTCCGTCCCTTTGAGCAGAATGCATGCCCTTATTCTGTGTTCACTGGGGTTCGCGTGGTCTCCACATCCTCTCAAGCCTTTGATAGTCCGATTCGCCAACTACAGTTCTTGCATGAGACCTATGGCTGTTTGCATCCCAGCAAGCGTCCGGCAAAGTATGGACGAGGCACTTTTGCTGTGATGCAAGTTGATCTGGAGGATTTCGATCGACCCGTGAGCCATTGAAGGGTTCACTTGGCTTCCGCGATTGCTCCTTGTCCCTGAGAGCGTTACTTCTCGAGCATCTTAATAGATACTTTTTGAGTCCCGCAATGAGGTTTGAAATTGCAGGCCTTTAGGCACTGCAATGTTTTCTCGCCAACAAGAGCAGCAAAATGGGAGCTCGGGGCTCCCTTGCGGTCACTGCCCTTGATGACTAGCCAATCCTGTTTCGAGTCCCACATTCTGTCTTGCCCATGAGGTCAATCGCCTCCCGGGCGGACAACTCTTCCTCCTCCACATGCACTACTATTCTGCGGCGCTTTGGCAGCTCCGCAGCGTCGAGCACCAGGAACGACGTGTCTCCTATTTTGTTTCCGGGGAATATTCTGTTGAGCCACGTCCCGGTCACTTCGTCTCAGCATCCAAAAATGACTGCTCCGTCTCTCTCCCACATGCCCTCAAAGGTCGGGGCTTTTATTCCCTTTGGTAGTAACAGGATCTGAGACTTCATAAGTCCTTTGAAGCCCTTCTACTCCTCCGACGAGATTTTCTTTTCCGGGTAGCCCTCTGGAACAAGAGCCAGCCGGATCATTTTTGTCGCAGCCTGGCTGTACGATGCCGGATTGCTCTTTTGTCTCTTGTCTGGCCGCGACATGCTGGGGCTGGGCGTGTCGTGCTTGGGGGCTATTCGTTTGCCCCTCTGCACTTCCACCGACTGACCCCCTTGAGCGTTATCTCCTTGGGCTTGTTAAGCCCTGAGAGCCGCCTGCTCTATTGTATAGTGGTGCCGCAAGGCATCTAATTTGCGTCTTGTTAGGCACTGGCTGAATTCCTCTTTCCTGGTTCGTTGAGGTCCCATGAGGCTTTGTTTGGTTCTTTTGATTTTGATGGGTATTCTTGGAATCCCACGAGGGTCTAGGTGAAGCGGTCTCACCCGGACTGAGCCTAGTATGCTTCGGGCTTGGCTAAATACCCGCGGAGGTCGCCTGGTATACGGGGGACATCGTTGACGACGCAGCGCCCCCTGTGTCATGCAGCCATCGGTACGGTAGCTAATGCTTTGGCTTGGGGAATCGGTCCGCGGCGGGGTCTTTAGGCGTGGGTTTGCATGCCCTATCACCACCGTTGGCCAGTCTTTTTCAGTATCTCAACGCCAGGCCACGGGTATGTCTACCCGTGTCCTGTCGTGAGCCGGCTAATTTGTCTGGCCGTTCTCCAATCCGCCACCCGGAGACGCGCCCGGTTGGTGGCTCAACCGTGTTCTCCGCTCCCGTCCATAGGGTTAGGTAACAACTTTGTAAAACCAAGGCAAAAATATTACCTGAAAATCTGTCCATTTACGTAAGTGTCAAATGGGGGGGGGGGGTGCGACAGGAGATTTTATTCTCCTTTCACGTCATGCGCACTTTATACACTCGGAAATCCGAATAGGAACTGCCATAAAAAATTAATAGTCGGCGGTAACAATTATTGCCATTGAACATTACAAATGTGAAAATTACCCTCCCACCGAATCAAGCGCCACGGGAATAGTCGACACTACGGCTCCGTGCTCCGAATTATCGATTGGCTGCTACGCAATAGGTTTCCTAAAGTCCGTGGGACACTCTTGCCCCGGCAGCGTACACGTGTTTACGTATCTTGAGTTGTAGTGAGTTTTTGTTATTCTTTGTTAATTTATTGTGTCGAAAGAGTTCATTCCCGAGGAGTTATCAAATGAATATAATTTAAGTTTTGTGGACAATTTTGTCAGTGTTTCATTATTTAATATTCCTACCTCTATTTCTCCTCTCTCTCTCTATCTATTTATTCTTTGGCCCTACCAACTTCCACTTTCTGAGTTTGCTTGGAGACGTTTGTTAGTTTTCGATAACACTAACTGGTGCCCGTTTGAGTTATCTATCTATTGGATTAATTGTTGGTTTCTTGAGTCCTGGCAGCCACTGACCAACGTTGCGTCAGGGGATGGCCTTCTGCCTTGTGTCGTCAAAGTATTCATATTTGTTAACCAGTGTCTAATCAAATTGTTTTCATAGGCTTCATTTGACAATTTTGGAATGCCTGTCTCAATAGGATATTTTGATTGGTGGGCAGATTCCCCATGTAGGATAGTCGGATTTGCCTGAGGTTCGGGCGAAGCTCGACGACAACATTTCCGGAGCCTTGGATGATAACTCCGGCCCGATTATCGGTGCCATGATTAAATCAATGACGGCAGCCGATTGACGGCCGAGTCTCATTATTTGTACCCCAAAATATTCATAACATTTTTTTTTTGTTGAAATTAATTGGATTAAGAATTTTCTGACGGTGATTGAAAGAAGCTAGTAATAGAAATAAACAACAAACAAGACTGTAAATTCTCGGCATATGATTGGCTACCGAGGCACTCAGTAAATTAATTAAGGAAAAGTGAAAAAAGAAAATTTTATCTTTTTCATAATTTATTAGTTATCCCTAACCACCGCGGCAACGATATCGGCCGTGGAAAAACTAAATCGGCGAACTCAAATTTTGTACCCGACGAAAGTCGAACCTACGATCACACTAGTCCTACGCCCTAACCATTAATGTAAGGAAGAGGTAGAGATAGAGTGGGGGGGCTCGAGGAAATTGGGACGCTAAACTGGCAAGTCGTCACGGGCGGAAAATAAGTGAATATAAGGGAACATTGAAGCGCCCAGTGATCTACAAGTATTTCACTCAGCTGTGAAAATTCATTTTTTCTCTCCTAATTAATATTAAGGGATGAAACCATCTGTATTCCATGGGAAATTACATCCTCCATCCATCGACAATCATTTAATCCCTGAATCTCTGTGAGGAAAAAATAAAAACATTGACGAAAGTCACCGTGCTGAGGAGTAAACCGAGTGGTTTTGGAGTGCCAAGTGACTTTGAAATAATTTGCACGTCCATCAAAAATTTGTTCCTTCTCTCCTAATTAATAGTAAAGGATGAAACGAGCTGTATGCAATGGAAAATTACATGTTGCATTCGAGTTATTGCGCGAATTTCCGCTATGAAAAATTTCCATTTTTAGGTATTGAAGAAAAATCATTTTTCATCTCTGAAAACCATTCACCTTTTTTTGTGCGACTATCAAAACTAATGAGTTATGCCAAATTAATGAGGGACGAAATGAGTGTCGATGGATGGAAAATTTAATTTCCTATGGAATACAGCTCGAGCGAATTACTTTTAGATCACTGGGCGCTTCAATGTTCGCCACTTATCTCCCGCTGCCGAGGATTTTCCACTTTAGCTTCCCATTCTATCCGATTAATACCTCTTCATTTTCAGGGTAGCCTGTCTCACTGTTCAGCGCTGAGCACGCGCCGAATCTACTGAATTACGTGCTATGTTTAATGAGTTGGTTATTACCCAAGGAGAAAAAAAAACTACTGGACCGGAAACAGCATATTTTCATACAGTTGATTGCGGGAAAGTATTTTTGGGTTAGCCGGATATTTGTACAGTAAGCGAAATGTGAGTAATATAATCTCACGAGTCAACAAAAAAATACTTTCCCGCCAGTATCAAATTTTTTTTTACATCACTTGGCGGGTTTAACCCTCGTTCTTGTAGTGGTCTAGGAAAGTAAAAAGCGACCGCTTTTCGCCTTCCTTTTTACTTACATCTCTAGGGAATTAAACGTACTCGGTTGGGGGGAGGGGCCTCATGATATAAAATAACATATGCTACACGGTCTGAAAAATATTTTAGGAACATATTTCATCAAAATCTGCGCCGAAGGTCCTTCGAAGCGGATTCTGATAAAATACATTATGATTCAATTCGTCGGAAAAATTCTTTTCAGGCTACATAGTCTAATCAATCTGGCAAGTGAAAGCATTGCAACTCTTAATTAATTCCGCTACCGATCAAAAATATTAATCGATTCGTAAAAATACCCTGAACAACATATCAAAATGTTCAAACAGCTCAACCGGGAACATAACCAGGGGCGGCGAAAGGTGTATGGTGGGTATGGTGTCTACCATACATGAGACTCCCGTGTGTATGGTATACCATACGTAGGAATACCCGAACTTTTTGTTCTCCAACCTACATTAAAAATACACAGTAATTCTATTTTTTTTTAATGAAACGTGAATTAAAGGGAAAAAAAATTCCGAAGAATAAGAACTGCAACTATTCAGCTCATCCAATTGCAAAGAAAACAATATGGGCGTGAAGAGAGAAAATTCAGGTACAAATTACTACCAAAAAATAACGTCTTAGTATAAATAATTGTAATATAAAAAACTGTTCAAGTTGTTTAACCTTACATGTTACAGTTACATGAAGGACGTTCTACGCTGCCATTAATACTTCTATAAAAATGTCTTATTCCTATTCCATCGATTAATTTTAACGTTCTGATAAATGACTAAAGGGTTTCGAAGATATTTGATATGTTTGCAGGTGGTATCAAAAGCTTATCTCATATATATTCTAGGCCAGTAAAGAACGAGATTAGGTCGGCCCAAGTAACGGAAATTATTATTTCATCACAATATGTGAGCGTACGTAAAAAGTATATTTCGCTACTAGGCTGTTACGAACTTTTCTGACGATTGTGAGTTTATAGTTCGGGCGAATTGGCTTAAGCCGAGGACTGCAAACACAATTCCCAGCAAAGTTCTTATATGGCCGAGTGATAAGCAACATTTTTTTCGGTTCTGTTTGTCACGATTTCTCATCTGGGAACTGGTACTTACTGGTACATACTTCCCACACTCGAAAATTTGAAAATTACTACGGAAAAATATATTCCGTAGTGATTTTCTAAAAAATTTTCGTAAAAATATTAAAATTGCCTACCAAAAAAGAGTCCACAAAATTTCTACACAGACTTAGAGTAGCCTAGAATTCGGAGTTTGTTTATAATTCAATGAATAAATAACGTACAACATCCCAGTTTTTAAAAATAATCTCTCGCTCCGAATCTGCATATGCATTCACATAAACATACAGTAATAATTAAAAATACCACTGCAAGAAAATAATAATGGAAAAAATCTTACGATGTCCATCAACTCCTTCTTCATGAAAGGCTTCATCATCCCTAAAATTATTTCCATTACTGGCATGGAATTAAGAAAATGAAGCCCTTTCAGACGAACCGGCAGTCCTTCTTGCAAGAAGGTGAGATACTTCTTCAGACCCATAGGACTCAATCGACCAGCGTGACCAAAGGTTATCCCATCTATGTCGACAACGAAGAGATGTCCTTTCATAGTTCCCATCTGGCGAATCCATAGGTCAGTAACCATATTCCAGTACTTCATACAGTCGTTATAGACGTAATGCGACGGATCAAGATCGATGAATCGACCGTAGGCTATTTGATAACCTTCGGGAGTTGTTCCATCGAGTTGCATGTAACACCTGTAAATCAAAATAGTCTCACAAATTTATACTATTATGGTAAGTCATGTCGAAGAATTTTTGGGTGGCACATGAGATGATCACGCCAATAAAAGTCCTCTCCGCAATGTTTGCTGACATTATCCTCACAATAAAAATCTTCTCCTTAAATATATCGCGTATGCTTGGACAACTGGTTGTATTACCTTTTTTTTCAACTCGGGAAAGTTAAACCAAAAAATCGTACAAATTCTGTGTTGGAGAATACTGACTCTCGCGGGTCCGAGACTAATTTAGCGGGTGACTATAAATCTTCTGAAGACTACTTCATGAGACTCTTTTTTAGTCAGTATGAGTTAAAGAAAAGGTTTTGGAGAAATTGCATTTTTCCAGAAAATGTGAACCAGAGAAAAATACTGAAAAAATTATGCCACTAATTACGTAATGGTTTGCCATTTCCTTGTTGTTTACTAAAAAATTTTACTGGAAAATATTATTTACTCCGGAAACTTTACGTGACTGTTGCCTAATTTCTTACGAACTTGTCAAATTTTCCATAGTTTTAGTAAAAACTACGCCGAGTAACGTAAAAATTATCCAGTTTCATAGATAAAGAATGTTGTTGGGCTACCCGATCGCGAATCATCGTCGAACTTCGGGGTACGCTGCACGACAATGGGCTAGTAGGCCAACAAAATTATTATTTTCGGAAGGACAAAATACATCTCGAATGATTTTCGAAGAGCGCGAGAGTGAATCAAAAAATATCTGATCAAGATGTTAGTGCTTAAAAGTAAGTGCATTCTTTTAATATTATTGTCATTTGACCATTAAGGCCTGCGACACGTGGTCGTACATGTGGTTGCACGCATTGATTATTGCATCGGCCTGAATTTTCGTCCTTCATCAGATAATATTTATTTTTTATTGTTATAACCAGTTTTCGTTATCCGGGCTAACCATTCTAACTCCCACTAAGTAATAATATCAATAAGCAATGGTGGACAATCAGAAATGCTTTTTCTCTTACCATTCATAACCTCAATCATTAACCGGTCTTTCATTTTGTTTTATTTGCCAATTTATATTTATTGTCATCTCAAACAATTTCGATAGCCTCAAAACATGCTGGAATTGAATTCTCAGAAAGTTTCAGCTACAAAGCGTTGTTAATTCCACACGCAGTTATTTCACAGCATTCCTTTTGCGTCTTATTGTTGTTTTTGTTTGTTTTCCAGTAGAATAAGACGGTAAGGTAGCACCCCAGGGTATAAGTAGTCCCCTTTCAGTTGATTTCCGAGTATCTATTTATATTTTTTTGCTTTCGATTATTACTTTGTACTAATATTTGCACAGAGAAAAAAATCGTAAAACTTAACAACTCATTGTGGTTGAATTTATCCGCTGTAGAATGTGATATTCAACCACCCTAGCAAACAATCATACACGCTATAGCGTGTATGTAGCGTGTATGTTGCGTGTCTGTTGCGTGGATGTTGCGTGGATGTTGCGTGGATGCAATTTTTGGATGAAAAACAGGTGGAAATCGATGAAAACAGATGAAAGAATGATGTGCGATGAATAAGGTGGATTATTCGGTGCATTTGGCGATGTTATATAAATATAAATAAACGAAAACTAATTACTCCTAAATTCTGATAATGTTCTCCTCAATTCCACCAAATTACCACCTACATATTTATGAAGAAAAAAGTTTGAAATGTTAATGAAAAAAAATAGATTCGTTCCAAATGCACAGTGCTCCGGGGCCCGCGATTAAACGGCTACGGTCAATTCGATTATCGAAGTCGGTAATATAACCCTACCGCCATCTCTCGGCATTTTCCGAACGCTGTTTTGATGCTCACTTCTGCCCATTATAGATTTTTTATAATTTATCCCCATATAAGCAAATAAACATCGCCAAATGCACCGAATAATCCACCTTATTCATCCCACATGATTCTTTCATCTGTTTTCATCGATTTCTACCTGTTTTTCATCCAAAAGTGGCATCCACGCAACATCCACGCAACATCCACGCAACATCCACACAACATACACGCTACATACACGCTATAGCGTGTATGATAGTTTGCTAGGGGAGCCAAGCATCCAAAAACCGAGTGTTGGTCAGCAGATGCTGGCCAATACATCAGCCAAGTCTGCAGGCTCGGAAATTCCTACATGGGATGGAAAGTAATTTGCATGCATGGAAAATTAAATGCCGAAATTACAATAGACAAAGCTAAGAGGAAAATCGTACATACTAACAATTTAAAACTAGCTCATATTAGACCAGACAATTAAGATGTGTTTTTTTAAATAAGTTGCATTTGTAGGGTTGAAAGAAGATTATGTCATATGTATTATGCATAGAACCATTATATTTACGTTGGTGAAAAGCTGTTCATAAAACAGCTTTTTAAATAAGGCGGAAGGTGAAGTAGCCCCAGGGGCTATACGATATCTTCCTATTTTCTCAAAAATGATAAGATATTTTCACTGAAAGTCTTTTCCAAAATGGTGCGAGTGAAATTTCAAATCGTAATCTGATATATTTTTTATGGATAAAATAAGAAAATTGTAAGTCCTCCGGCCGTTGGGATAAATTGCGTTGTGTGGACCTCACGGATGAGGATCTTGGATATCTAGGGTTTTTACTTTTTTTGTAAAATACATGTATGCAACGCCAAAAACGTATGACACGTAATATGCAATATGTTACATTTGTGCGATTTGAAAGGCATGTATTTCACGTAAAATGCATGTACATTGTAAGAGTATTTTTCCCGGGTCAACACCCCGGGAGAATCCTCAAACTATTCTGGCTGCCGCCTCTATCGTTCACGATTGGGCGCCAGCCAGGTTTTTCTGGAAAACCTGACGGAAAACCAGCCGCGAAGGAATTTCGTCAACTCCGCGGACTTTCGGTGGCGGGTCTCACAATGCCGAGCCAGCATCAGCATGACACGGTAGAGTGGGCGAGGTTCACCAACGTACGAGTAACTTCAATCACTAATTTCTGCCGTGCTCACGGCATCGTTAACGATATCTCTCGGGGAGCGTATCTCTCCGACTCTCGTGGAGGGATAGGACCATCCCTCTCACGCGGTGCTTTCTCCTCTGGGGTGGCTCAACCCCAGACGAGACACAGATTACCTGCGAATCCTTCTCACCCCGCAGGGCGCCGAACTGCTCGAGGCACATGCGACGTAGGTATCCGGAGACCTTTCTCACCCACCTAACGTCCACCCCAACTCGAGAGCTCGGTAATAGCAATCTCATCGCGAGTCAACCCTAGAGTTACTCCCCATGGAGGCGCGTGTGACCGGACCGACGGGAAACACCTTGAATCCCAGCCCTTAGTCCACCCCAACACCATGGATTTCGCCCTAGGGATGGATCTCTGCAGCCGCGGACTCTCGTCCGTAGCCTCAAAGTAATCCATTTCACTGATCGGGGACACATAAGTGTCCCCTTCTCTCGCTATTCCAAGATTCCTTGGAACCACGTACCCTTCATAATCCCGGTAGGGATTATTGCCACCAACTGATCCCGAGCTCCTAAAACATCCGCTCGAGACCAGCACTCAACGCGAACTGTCCTGAAATCTACCAGGGCCTTCTCCCCCTAGTCTAAGCATCTCAGCGACTGTGGGTCATCCGTTACCCCACAGCCACCAATCAACTCGACGGGATCCCGGGGGCGCTAGTCCTTTCACCTAGCCGTTGGTCCCTGGTCTAAGTCGACGGCGCCCTTCGGAATCACCCAGTTGGAACGCCAGTACGTCGGCCCTGAACTCCCTAACACAGCTGGGTGGATTTCCGAATTGGGAAACAGCAATCGTCAGCGCCATCACAGTGTTCCGAAACATGGTCTCACCCTACCACGTTTCTTCCCACTGTGTGATTGGTCTAATTTACCTTCGGAGCGGCCTGATTGGCTGTCGTCCGATGGTCTATTCATCTTTCGCTCGGCTATTTCAGCCGGCGTTAGATGTCGCTCCCCTTACCTAGTGACTATCCTAGTAATAATCACTAGTAACGAGAAAATCTCGTTACAACATGATGTCGAGAATGCATGAAATGTAACATACAATATATTACATATCTAACATTTCAAAAGCATGTATCTTACGTTATACAGGGTGTCCGAGATAAAAATGTACACCCAAATAACTATTGAATGTGGGTAGTAATCGAAAAATCTTTCAAATAGAAGTTGTAGGCCTCCAAGTGGGAAAAATAATGAGATATGTTTTGAGCATTTAAGTCTTCATGTTTTTCTGCTACAAGCATAAGTTCATTTTTTTCATATGGGATCAAAAATTTTCTTGTAACAAAAGTTGTTGTAGTCGATGAGATGAATCTAATGATGTCACACATGTGTTTTTTATGCTTTCTGAGCTCAAAAGTACTAAAAATCGAACTTGTCAACGATATTCCAAATTCAGACACGATAAACAGATAAACAGATAAACAGTAAATAAGAACCAGTAAACACCAAAGTGTAAATACCTGGGCTATCTGGTGTACCTTCGTGTTTATTGTTTCTTAGTTAGTCCGAATCGGGTCATTATTGAGTTCAGATTTTTTTTGAGTGATTTCGCGTATCATGGTTTATTCCGCAAATGAAGTTGTGGATATTCTACTGGTTTTGGGAGAATGCCGAGGTGCATATCGCGCGGCCGCTCGATTGTATCGACAACGATCCCGAAACCGATTACGTCATCCCTCAGCTTCATGCATTCGGATTATCGAAAGAAATTGTCGAAGAGGAAGAGTTCTGCAACGACGACAACCACAACAACAACTGAATCCTGACAATCCTCGTACGCTTACCGTTTTGGCCATGGTTCACATGAACCCTCACATCTCTTTAAGAGAAATTGAGAGAGATTCAGGTATTCCACGAAGCATAGCTCGCGATATATTGAAATCGAACCGTTACCATCCATATCATATCAGATTGACACAAGCACTGTCTGCACAAGGTAGACAGAATCGTGTTGCTTTTTG